TATGCCAGAAGATGACCCAGCTGAAGTTGTGGCCCATAAAACTAAAAAGGGTAGAAAAAGAATTAGAGCAAAAGCACTTTCTAACTCACGTAAAAAAAGTAAAACTTCATCTCTCGTAGATCATATTTTCCCACAACTCCAAAAGATAACCAAACTAATCCCGATAAAAGCCAAACTGATCCAAAAGAAGGGACCTTAACCACACTAAGTCGCCACACCTTATTAAAATGATATTTTTTATTAGTGGTTATCTTAGTAAAATTTTAAGATATAGCAAAAATATACTAAATATACAATATACTTTTTAACAATATTTATATTAAGTTTAATAATTTAATTTTTACAAAAATTAATAATCTTTAATTGTCTAAATAAATATTAAACATTTTTTTTTTTTTTTTTTTTTAACAAATTTGGCAGTCTTGCTTTCACTTTATTAGGCTTTGTAATAATTATCTAAACTATTAAAATTTTTTACAAAGTTATACTAAATAGTACCTAAATTACAAGTGGAGACTCACCCAGTTGCTCACTAAGTATCTATGTGCGATCTGCTATAGTAAGATTTGCCTTTGTATTATCTTATCCTGCAATTGGCTTCAATAATATGTCACTAGCTAGATCTTACTGCCTATCAAAACTATATATTAGTTTTTCACCAATCTGCCCATTATCCTTCTTCAATCCACTTTAAAATCTCTTTTTTAGTTATTTCTAAAATTGAACCCTATCTTTTATCTTCTTTATTTTTATCTTTTTTTTTTCTCCTAGTATGTTTATCTGGTGGTTTCTTCTTCTTTTTTTCTCTTCTTGCCTTTTTGTACGATCTTCTTTTATCTTTTGGTGCAATTTCATTTTCTTTCTTCCATTCCTGCACTAGTTTGTATCTTGCAACCCATATTCTCTTGTATACTTTCTTCATCTAGTTCTTCCAAAGTCTATCTAGAAAACTCTTTGCTTAATCATTTGAGTTAAAAAGAGGTCTCAAATCATCAAAGTCTTCTTTGTAATTAGGCCTCTAATCTATCTTTCTCTTTTACGTGATTCCTCAGTTTGGGATCTCTTTCCTAGCATTATTAAGACTTCTTTTTTGATTTTCTCCTGGTTTTCTACCTTTAATTCAAGCAGGGTTGCTTCTACTACTTGCTTCTCTAGCTCGTGGAGTAGGTTCAGAAAAGTTTTACAGCTCACCAGGTGTTCTACATTCTCTTTCTTCTTTTTATATATAACACATTAATCTGTCTTGTATGTTTCTGGCCTTCTTTAATTGAGTTTTTCAAACACTGGGAGCATGTTGTTTATACACTTTATTTCAAAGAGCTATAATGTATTTGATTTGAAGGTGTAGTTTCGTTGTCTGGTTCTGCTTCTCAATATGTTGCATAGTATAGACCAAAATTAAATACTCTTTTTTTCTTGATGAGTTTTATTATATATGTTATATGTGAAAGCCTATTCTGCTTTTAATAGCACTTTCTCTATCATTTTGACGAAAAAACAGATAGGCTTTTCAACTAATTTACCTTTCTATGTGTATTTTATTTTGTAGCTTTTTGTATATAATGTTTTTGGGTTTAGGTATTCTGTTAACTTGGAACCTTTTTTTGCCTTCAAATCTGCAAGATTATTAAAAATATCGCCTAAGTGTCCTTTGATCTTTATAAAGTATGTATTTAGCTTCTTCATCCTGATCACTTTTACAATTGTTGTTACCAAGCCACAATTCTTAGTCTTCAACCAAAGTCTTATCTTGTCTGTCTCTAGGCCTCTTTTGATTGCTAATATTGCTGCTTTACTATCTGTTCGTATTTCTACCCTTCTTCTACGAAGTGTAGTTAGTAATACGAGTAATATTGCTACCATTTTTGCTCTTGTAGATAAGAACCACCTCTTTGTTGCACAAGCAAAATTTGACCTGTTTCTGTGATTTGAATTACTTCACATCCCATTACTAATTCTTCTTCATTTTTTGCATTGCCGAGTGAGCTATCTGTATAAAAAAATAAACTATCTACTTCTCTATTTTGTTCTAAACTTTCTGCTATTCTAGATCTAATTACATCATCCTGAACTATTCTATTAACTAAAACCATTTCCCAACATTTGCACTTTATCTTTTGTCTCTAGGCTAAGTGTATTAATATTATTTGCTTTGCAATTATATCTATTTTTGACTACTCATGTGAGAGGATTTTCTAACATTTCACTTTCTAGTTTAGTGAACCAGCCTACTTTTTTTCCTTTCAAACCTAAGCTACCTGCCAATTTGAATTAGTTCCATGTATGCATTGTTTTGCTATCTTTTGCAATAAGTTGTGAAACTAACATTAGCAAAATATATAACTGTAATCTTACGTAAGTTATTACGGACCGAAATCTTGCGCAATAATTTTGCCACGACGCGAAATCTTTCGAAATTATCAATTACACAATATTACGAAATACATAAGTAATAAATTATGCAATATTACGAAAACTATTTCACATTAATTCGAAATAATTCGCAACTATACGAAATAAACAGACGTAAAATAGTGATATAAATAACGAAATTTTATATTAAATATACGAAAATGGTAAATTCGCACTATTTTAATTATATCGAATAAAATTGATTTAATTCGAAATAGTTCAAAATTTTTAAATAAAAAGCATATTATATATATAAATATATTTTAAAATTAAAATTTATAATTTATTTGCAGTAATTCGAATTAATTAAAAATACTAAATTTATTTACTAAATTTTTTAAAAATATTACATATAAAATATATAAAAAAAAAATTCTTGATAATTCTAAATTAAAAAAATATATAAAAAAAAAAAACACAGCATTATTCGTATATAAAGAAACAAAACAAAAAAACTTTTACTCATCAGTATCTGTATTTTTCTCATATTCATCTGTATCTTTCTCATTAACTTTATCATCTGGTTCATTTTTAGCTTCTTGGACTTCTTCTGCATCTAAATCAACGATTTTGGTAATTTTGAGTATAAATATTAAAATTGCAACCATTCGCATTATATTGCTATAATGCCAATTAGATAAAGTTTTAATTTGCAAATTATTTACTAACTCTTGGTCTTTTATTAACCTAAATATAAAATAATTTACTAATATTAAATTGTTTCAAGTTATTTCATATTAATT